TAATTGTGTTTTTAATAAATATGGCACAGTAGTATGATATATAAATATTCTATAGTTATAAGCAGGGTGGCTTTAGACAAAATTTATACATAGGCAAAATCAAAATTTGCCGCATTTTCGTTTWTGTAAGTCTAAGTATCAACTTATCCATAATACAGCTCTGCCTATCACCGAAAGGCCTGTATTGCTTGTGCCTTCTTATAAGCCATTAGCACGAAACTGCTGCAGTTATCAGCAAATTACCTACTTAAACCAATTACACAAATTTTCCTATAATACACATTATAATGAAGTAATAACTAATTAATATWTGTACAACTATTTTGAAAAATATAACTACTTTTATAAGTATTTTATATTTATATTGGTCATGAATAGATTATAATCATCAAATATAGGCGTATGGATATAATAATAAAAGTGAATTTGGCTATGTACAGAGGCGTATTTAGGCACAGGCCCTATAGGTCCGGGTCTAGAGCGGCAAAATTGAAGAGCTGCAAATTTCAACAGTTATTTTTTACAAAATTATAAAAATATTTTTCATTTGATGAAATCAAACTCAAATAATTTTTGTTCGCTCACAATGAATCAACTATATATCTACATGTATCTCAATGTATCTTTTTTAGTATAATATTATATTTATAATATGATAAATTGTATACTTAAATTTGTTTTATAAATAATTATAGGAAGGATGAAGGGGGAGGAAGGCGGCGAATTGGAAAGTGCCTAGAGGCGGAAAAACCTTAAATACRCCACTGGCTATGTAGGCATAGTTCAATATTTATAATAACGATAAAATGAGGTGAATCCAGACAGATTGGATTTTGTTATTTCTTACATTTGACAAAATACCAACAAATGATCAAATGCTTCTGCCCATAATTTAATTAAATTATTATTGTAATTTTCAGACTGGTATGGAGCTTTCTGCTTAATTGAAAAGGTAAAACACCTAACCACCTAAGTGTGAAATTAATATTCACTTTTATATTATCATATGGTTTTTTTAAATATTTCATAGTTATTTGGAAAACTCAGATTTAGGTACCTACCTTTCACTTAACAATCTGCCAAAAATTAATTATAATAATTTTAGTATTTATGTCCGAGTTATATGGTTTTTCGAACTATATTACAATTTTATTTTTATTTTATCCCATACACTATAATATAAATATGAGGTATGATAAATTTATATTTACTTATAAATAAAATTTAATTATACTTATTACAAATTAAGCATTTCAAAAATATAATATTATAATGTGGATAAATTAAAATAAATATGATATAGTATTTTCCATATAACTAAATCTAATAGAATCTATACATTGATATTTGAATTTATTTTTAACATATTTATCATTATCCWCAACGATTAAAAGTGTACCAGTGACGTGTCACAATTACTCTACTAGACCATAAGTTATCGCAATAATAGAATTACMAATGAAAAAAAAAAAATGCCATTARGTTGTGGGTCATCAAAATTTGAAAATTTTCCATAACAGGTTGTACCGTGAAAAGTATGGAATCTTCCAATTYATACAATTATAAATCTATGATGTATAACTGTAATAGTGATCAGACATGTGAAAAAAGTGTAAAGTGGGATAGGAAATATACACAAGAGCTGCACTTACAAGCTTGAAAACTACATAATTGAATATATGAAGTTCACTTTACCTAAGCYATAAGTATATAAGAAGTGGCGAACTGAACAGCTATTTTTTGAGGCAACTGCCTCAGRGAAAATACGAGTGGGTGGATGGGTAACCAGGTGTGCAACTGACCAACTGGGCACTAGTTTAATTGTACATTTTAAATATACTATTAATGTATACATTTTTTATTAAGTGAAAAACCTGATGGTTGTAGGGTGGGTGTCAAATTGTATAGTTTGCCTCAGGTCTGAAAAATGTTCTGCACACCACTGTATATAAGAAGATACTGTAGGCAAAGTACTKAAGTGTCTACTAATACTAATGTATTACAAATTTTATAATTAATTAATTAGTTAGAGATGTATCTTAACTTTTTGTCTTCCTTGCTATGATACAATCAAAACATTCACTCTGCAGCAAGTGAGTCCAGATTTTCTGGTACAAAGAGGTATACTTGCTCAATAATCTTAGATAACATTTAAATTTAGAATATATAAATTTAAACAAGCCATTTTT